CAGTATACTCTAAACTGTTATGTGGGTTTTTTTCTTTCTTAAAATATTGTACTGTTCTCATCCCTTTTCTTCTTGTAATAATAGGAGATGATACCGTGTCCATGTGGTGGGCTCAAGTTAGGTGACTGGTGTAGACTCTGTGACACAGTGTCAGACTACTACTGACTTTCTGACAATAAATAAGAAGGAAGATCATCTTCTTTGGGTGATCCTGGATCAATGAACTGTGAGGATGACAGACAGGTAGCTAATATAGCATAGATACACTGGAAAAAAGTGTGATTCACATCCTGGGTGAACAGAACAGGACAAGATATCATTATGCTACTCAGAATGATGTGCAATTTAAAACTTTTAAATTGTTTATTTCTAGAATTTTCCATTTAATAGTTTTGGACCACTTTGACATTGGGTAAATGAACTGCAGAAAGTAAACCAAAGATATAGCCAATCAACATAGTCACTGAGCTGCCTTGTATGGTGAGTGTGGCTTAGGCACTTAGCAGTAACTTTTCCCAGTATGTGCCATTCTTTGAAATTTATGATTTGTATATTTATTATGATAATTTTCTAGAAGACAATTATCTTTTTTTATAGTTACTTAGATATTTACTATCTTTACTGTTCTCCTTTCAAGACTGTCTTATTTTTATCAAAGAAAAGATCCTTATAATACTTTCCAAAAGATGACATTTAGCATATTGGAGAATTCAAACAAAGGCTTTGTTTGGGCCAGCTCTGCCAATGCACACAGAAGACTGAATGCAGCATTGGAATGGTAAAGAGAGTGAAAGAACTGGCAACAAAAGAGTGGTGGAGAGTAGAGAGTTTACAATTGATATCATTACAAATAATTTCCACTGTTGATAATGATAAGGCTATGATCATGGGAGAGGGAGGTCAAAAATGGGAGAGGGACAATGCTCTAAGAAGAGCAACTCCTGAAGGAAGCACAGGAAGAACTGACAAATGTTACACTGGGGAATGAATATCAGCATCCTAATATTTGCTAATACCGCTGAAATAAATGTCTATGTTCATTTTAAAAAGAGTTTTAAGCCCTAACTTAAAACTATAAGCCAAAATTAATGAGTTATAATGTATTAAAAAAATCAATTTTTCAAAGTGAAATTTCTGTGAGTTTTAATTTAAAGAAACATTTGCTTTAACCTGTTCAAACCAAGACCATGTTTATAGAGGAGACTGTATGCTGGCTCCATCCTCAGGGCAGAAGTCTGAGGATTACACTTCCTGGGTTTTCTTTCTTGAGGGGTTTGGATGAAATTTGCATTCTGTCATGCTTTTACAGGTGATTTGTAAGGCAAAAGGACACAGAGACAGTCTTCTCCCCAGCAGCAATGGCAGATGGCAGTCATTCTACAATAGCTGGTGGAACACAAGCTCCAAGAGCAGCCTCCCCCCACCCTCCCAAAGTGAGGATACCGAGATGCTGCAGGCGATTTGCTGCAGTGTCTTGACCTCTGGGTGGCAGCAGCAAACTGCTGAGTTCTGGATGCATCTGCAATGCTGCTCCATAAAATTCAAAGGTAGCCATGGACAATATTTAGCATTAAATCCTCAAGTTATTTGAAAATTTCCTTGATGAAGCCTGACTTACGTGATATTTCATGCCAGACTGGTTCCAGGCCTTCAAAATAGGATTCTTGTTATTTGACCTGCTTGCATTGGCCTACAGAGATGACCTCATTGCCAATGTAAAACAGGGTTCTAAGAAGACCTGGAAGGCAGTTGCAAAAGGTACTTAAATGAACACCCATGGTTTCCTAAAGTAATGAGCCTATTGAAGACTATAGGAGATCAAGTTGGCTACTGCTATAGAATCTTATGGTAAGAAAGAGAACAAGAACTATGGAGTATGTCAGCTGTTTCCCATTGTACCAGAGAAAATGACAAGTTCAGAAAAGAAATAAGAATCAAGAAAAGAACCAAGGCACGGGCAGAGAATCAGAGGCCTTCTAGAGCCCTTATATTTGCAGCTACATTCTTGATAAGCCAAAACCACCCTGAAGGTCTGTTGTAGATTATAAAAATATACTGCAAGATGAACCAAAGCCTTGTCAGGACTCTTATGTGAACATTAATTAAGGCTCTTACTGTACAGTGAGCTCTGACAATTGGGAAAGGGACATTTTGGGGGATTTGAATGAATCTGAGAACTTTGAACTCTAAATCTTCCTTGATAGAAAAAGTGAGCCCCCCTCCTCTGTCCATCTTCCTTCCCTTGCTGATAGGTGGTATTGACTCTTCTTAAGGCCATTACAATCGCAAGAAACTCCCAAATTTCCAAAAACAGAACCAAACCATTGCTGAAGCATCTGATTGATACAATGTCCCTTTATCATTAAAACATAAGAGAGCTTTGATAAGTTTCATTGCACTGTGCACAGAAGTTGGGTTTTAAAAGAGTAAAGATCAAGTGCGGGGGGAGGAAGAAGAGACCCACTTGTCAAGTTACGCATGTGCCCATGGGAAACAGATGCCCCTCCGAGGAGGACCCTGGGGTGCTGCTTTGGATAAATCAACAGCATATTTTAACTGTGACAATTTTCCCATGATATTAACACCATCACACAAAATACAAAGCTAGAAACAGAGATGATTGTTGATTGATTTCATATTGGAATGATAGATAACTTATTTTTCAGATGTATGGAACCTTATGATGAACCAAGCTGAGTGTGACCTGCAATTTTCCTGGACCTTCCTACCTCCTATTAATGCAGAGAGGGAACGTTGGTGGCCCAGCTGTATTGACACATGAATAGCATTTTATAAGAAGTGGGACTGTAGGTAAAGATGACAAGTGAGGACAGTCCTTGAGCTAGTGAAGAAGGAAATCAGTTTCTGCCATGGAAGCTGTCTCAGCCTGTGATGGTTCTGGGACACATTTTGGTGTTTTGCTGTTTCCAGGAACTGGTAACCTAGCTCAATCAGGATACTGCAAACAGAGGTAGAGACTGATGAGTTCCCCTTAATTTGCCAACTTCAGAAACATCTAGAATAATTGTAATAGCTGTAACAATAATAATGATGCTAATTACATCCTGCGTTTATTGACCACACGCCAAGCACTGAAGTACCAAGTGCTCTTCAGTTGTTAGCTCATTTAGTCCTCACAGCAGCCCTGTGAACAAGCTACTGTTATAATCTTGAATCATAGGTATATAAAATCTGAAATTGTGAGAGGCAAATTGTCAGTGACAAATCACATAGGACGTTAATGAGAGAGCTGGCACTCAAACCTAGGCCTTTCTTGCTTAAAACCCAAGACTTTAAACACTGTATTGTTAAGGTACAACTCTTCTAACTTCTTTTTTAACATGTCTTAGAACAGTATTTGGGCTGCTCTTGCACCACAGACCTGGTGACTTATAAAAATTAATTTCCCACAGTTCTATTGGCTGGGAAGTTCAAGATCAAAGCACCCAAAAATTCAGGGTCTGGGAAGGACACACTTCCTTTTCATAGATGGTTATCTATGAAAGAGTCTATGGAGACTCTTCCCATTCCACCTTCAAGATCCAGAAGCATGAGTTGGTTCTGTGAAGGTAGGGATGGAGAAGGAGACCTGAGACAGCTTGCTCCTTTCCCTCTGAGGAGAAGGCCTGAAGTGTGAACCCTAATCTGGTGGTGACCTGAGCAAAAGAGAATGCTTTCCTGGGACACCTAGGCACTGCTGTTTATCCCCCTCCCCCCACCTCCGTGGGCTCTGGGCATCCCTTACAGAGGTACAGAGGTAAAGTATGCATTTTATAGTGAACCAAAACTTGCCCTCTTCCAGCCCCAATTTCCTGATGTATCAGGTTCTGAATTAGAAATTCATTCTTTAGTTTTGAAAAGAAAGAAAGAAAGAAAGAAACTCAAGGAAAGAGGACACAACAGATTGGTTTACCAGATTTGTTTCAGATGTTATTTATTTATTTGGTGGTTCTGGGACTTGAACTCAGGGCTTTGTGCTTGCAAAGCAGGCACTCTACCACTTGAGCCACACCTCCAGTCCTCAGATGTTATTATTTTGATGGGATGCAAAAAAAAAAAAGGAGAATTGGAAGAAAATGGAAGGCTAAATAGTGGGAACATGGGCTGCAGGTGAGGGAAAGACGGGAAGTAAAGAGAAAGTTCTTTTACTTTATAAAGCGATCCTTCCACTCGGCAAATTCAGAGAATAAAAAATTGTCTTGCTCAGGTTGAAGATTCAGACATCATTGTTATTTTAAGATTCTTACAACATAGCCATGACAATCCCGTTCAACTGGAACTTCACTGTTAGTGGATAAAGACTATGTTTGACTTTGCTTGGAAACCATAAAACCACAACAAAATCAATTCTCCTGAAGGCTACTAGGCAACATGGGATCTCTTTCACCATGAGGACTTGTAGTGACAGACTAATGGCTCCACAATTTGTACGGTTTGTTTGAGGAACCTAAAGGTGCTTTTTAAATCACCTTCTGAAATAATCAACGAAATTAAGAGGTCAAGTGCCTTCTTAAGAAATCTAAGCTTTCTGAACATCAGTAACAAAATACAAAGCCTGACTAGTTTCACTCAAACTGAGAGTTACTGATTCGACAAGCAGCAGTTCAGCTGCTAGGATCTCCTTGGAGGTAGATTAAAAAGCAGCCGGCGGAATGCGCTCTTGGAACTGCATCACGTCCTTCCTGGGACCATCAGGGAACCTCCTGGTCTTCCTAGACAGGTTCCAAGCGTGCCTGGAAACCCTGGGCAAAAGTTAGCAGCCAGGGCAGCGCTGCCACTCTGGGCAGCTGGTCCCGGAGCGCTGCACCATTTCCTTCCCACCTGAACCCCCGGGAGGTAGACACCCCTCCATCCCGCCTCCCTCAGGAAAGGCTGGCCAAGAGCGGGGACATAGAAGGACTTTGCGGCTGCAGAGAAGCAGCTGAGGCCAAGCATCTCCAGGAGGTAGGGGAAGCTTGCAAGCGAGCCTCCAGGTCCCCGCCCCCAGCTCCACCGGGACCAACGCAGCCTGGAACCCCGCGCCCGGCGCCTGGCGGGAGGGGGTGTGGCGCGCAGGGGTGGTGCTGGGCCCCTGCCTAGAGGCTAAAGCCGCCTGGGTGACCTTCGCATCCGACAGGAGCAGGCTGCGGGAGGTGGGGAGGCCTAACCCCCCAGTTTGCAGCCCGGAGGAGGAACCGATCGGCTTGCGGAGGGAGAGGGAGGGCGGGGAGAGCCGCCGAGCCGCCGGCGCTGGAGGGAGTGCACGCCAGTCGGGTCGAGCGCTGGAGCCGGGCGGGAGCCGCTGGCCCGAGCGGGGCTGGGATTGTTGCACTCGGTCACCAGGGTGGCAGGCCGGCCGCAGCCCCGCAGACTGCGCCCGAGGCCCCGCACAGGGCGCGCGGACAGCAGCGCACCGCACCCCGCGGTCCAGCGGATCCCCGGCGCAGAGCCCTGAGGAGGCGATCGCTCGCTCGCGTCGCCTCGCTGCTGGGAACCTGACCGAGGCCGAGAGTGAAGGTAAAAGGAAAGACAGAGACAGAGAGAAGTGCAAGAAGAACCAATTGCTAACAAATTGTAAGCAAGTTTGTGCTTGCACGCTGAGGCTCTGCGTGCTGGGTGGGAGGGAGGGGGTGGCGGTGGATTGTGTACGTGTGTGACACTCACCGATAAGGCGATAAAGAGGTTGGGGAGCCTCTTTGCATCACGTACGTAAATTTCCCTATGAATATTCCCCCTCTCTGAGTTGTCATTTCCGCCCGTGGCACATCCCCTGGGCTCCGATGGTGCAGAAGCAAAAGGCAGCCACCCTCTTATTGTGATGGTGGGTACGGTCCCTACTATCAGATGGGAGACGTAGGGTGTAGAACAAATTCTAGGAGCCTCGCTTCCTCCACCCCCAGGCTATTTTAGGAAGGGCTAGGGGAAGGAAAATGGGTAGCGGAGCCGGGGGTTTGGAGGCTGCACCAAGGCCCGGGCGACTCCTCAGGCACTGTCATGGTGCAATTGCTTCCAGGCAGAGCCTACACTAGAGGGCAAGATAACTTTCATCTCCTCCTCAGAAAGACAGGTTCCAGACATATTTTGCGCTGCCACCAGAGGAGTTCTGGGAAATGGTGGTCCACCGGAGCACAGGTGCATCGCAAAAGACAGAAATACAGTCAGTGCAAAATGCAGCAGCCATCAGCCGCCCAAGAATGAAAAAGCCCCAGGGAAAGCCGGGAGGGGGGGGCCTGGGGGGGGCGCTGGGTATGCTGCTGGAAGTTCAGGCCTCTTCCTTGAATAGAATCAGATCCAGCCCAGGACCTGATGTATCAGCTAGGAAACCGTAGCTCCCTGGAGTTTTCATTTCTGAGCTTTTCAGTTTGGGGTAGAAAAGTTCCATGTATCTGAAATTTTTCTGAGAAAAGTAAGAAAGCCTAAAATGAATTATTTTTCTTTTCTTGAATGCACGTTTATTTTTGTCTTCATCTAAGAACTACTTTCTTAAGACAGTATTTGTAAACTGAAGCCAGACCTATACAAGAGAGTGCATAATAATTTTTAATCCAGCAAAGGTTATGAATATGACCTACATCTGCAAAAAATGCTAATTTAATTCCGAGTCAAGAGGATTGGCCTTTGTGAGGGCTGTTTATTCCCCAGGATGAAAAAGATTAATAGTATGGATAAAAAGCTCCTGACATCATCACAACAGTGTACTAAAATACATATCTATTTTTCTTGTGTTTTTCAGTTTATTACTTTGTGGCAGAGTTAGAACAAAATGTGCCAGATCACTGCTAACTTAATATGTTTCCTGTTGAAGATAAAAAGCATCTTCAGACAGACACTGTTTATAATATGGCTAGCCTTTGAAAAATGTTTGCTCAACTCTTACATTATAGCTTTGCTTTTATCTTTCTTGACAAATGATTTTTCACAAGCTGGTTTGCTTCTGTCCTAATTGTGCCAATACAAGAACTCTTTTCACTTGATTCCTTCCTACCAGGGAGTGGGGATTGGAAAACACTAGTTTATCATTTAGAATTTTTCCAGAACCACTTGGTGCTTCACTGGGACTATCTCTCTCACTATTAATGCAGTACATGTATCTTTTTGCAACTGAGAGGAGGTGTGACTATGACAGGATGTATGACCCCATAACCCTGTAAGGTGGTGGCATTTTCACAGCTCTGGCTACTGCAGCCACACCCTGTGGCCTGAATGTAACTGGCATGCTGGCCCAAGACTCCTTGTGGGGACATCTTCCTCTTCAGTATGTCCTTCTTGTGGTCTCCTATAACAAGAACTAATCTTGGGCAAGGAGTGAAATATACACTCTAAAGAATACTTCAGAAGAAAGAAGGTGGCAGATGTCTTTGGGCAATTTGTACTCCAAGCTTGCAAAATATTTTTTGAATCATTGTTAGCTAATGCTTGTCATGCTGGTCTGTGCTGCACATTGTCTTGTGATTACTTTTTCATATTCTGTTTCAAGAGAAAGAACCATTTTGTTTTACAATTCTGAATAATTCATAATAGTGAATAATTAATGGCATTATTTGCTGCTAACCTGTATAGTTATATTAGTATTATGTCTATATTAACTCAAAATGTCCCTCTTCTTCCCTACTTTTTTAGCCATTTTAATATTTATTAATTATTGCTACTACTACTAGGGGACTGGGAGAGAAAATAATTTAATTGAAGATTAGACATTTATTTGAACTCATTCCAGCAAAAGATTCAAATAGAAGGGAGGATCTATTGAAATTGTTTTAAAATTTTTATGTAATGGTGGATTTCAATATTAGTGCTTTCTTGTACTTACTTAGGTAATAACTAATAGCCATACTTCATACTGTTGTGAATCTGTTTCTATGCTTATGGTCTCCATTTTTTTCAGTTAAACACAAGCCATATCATCTCTGGTGTCTGCAGGGTTTGGAATTTTCCACTAGTTTCCTAATATCTAAAGTCTTACTTGCATTGCTTTGAGGTATATTCTTGTGGCCCAGCAGTGCTGCTTCTACTGCTTTCCTTACTATATTCCTTTTTAGTTGCACAAACAAGAAATTGCTGTTGCAGCTTATTGTCCATTTGGAGTAGAGACAGGAAAAGTCAAGTTGTGACATTTCACGACTATGCTTTCCCCAGGTGTTGCTGTTAAAACATAATTCATCTAGGAGAATCCCAAATAGCACAGACTCTAAATTCTCACTGCTCCCTGCACAATAAGTACAGCAGATAGATGGTTACTGTTTGATGGTTTCCACAGTGGCCTGGACGCCTCCTTTACGAAGTCATCCTGTTTTGCTGTAATATTGCTTATAGTATCTCTCCCTCTGCTACTTAAGCACTAAGAGTGGTCTGTCTGTCTGTTCTCTGCTGTTTACTCAGTAGATAGCATTGTGCCCTACCAAGAGTTTCCCAATACATATTTGCTATGCCAAAATAAATATGAGAATCTTACCTCTCTGCTAAGCATGATAGATGAATATGGCTGCATTGTATTTCATTTCCTTCTTCTGGAAAGATTTAAAGATGGTATGGGAGCTGTCAATTCCTATACAGTCTGTTCATGTCTATTCCAGGACCCAGCCTCACCTCTCACTCCCGCACTCCTCACCCCCTCAATATCCTCCACCTGTTATAAAATCCCTTGCTAACCTTGGGCACAGTGAGTTCATTGGTGGTTCTGGATCTTCCTCTAGTGATGTGATGCTGTAGGTCGTGTCCACCACCAGAAAACTGCTACATAAGCAGTGAGTTCAAGGATCTCATGACCCTACACCAGCAGGCGTTTTAGTTGTCACTCCTGCTAACATTGGTTTTGAGAAAGGAGAGTATACTCTGGAGCATCTTCCCATCTTAGAGCCATTTTTTCGTATTGCAGGTGGAGAAACTGAGGCCAGAGGAAGAATATTGAGAAACAGTGATTTACTGAAACTCAGCTGCATGACAAATGTTACATATTTACTTTATTTCTTTATTATTTACTTATTTGTCTTGTTTTGGTGGCACTGGGGATCAAATCCAGGGCCTTGCACATGTTAGGCAAGTGCTGTATTACTAAGCTATACCTTAGCCCCATATTTACCTTTTAAAACTTAATTTAAGCAGAAGAAAATGTAGCCTATATTTTCTTCATAAATTAACCTCATTTTGCCTTTGAAAAAGGAAGGACTTAGAAAAGTTGACCTTTCTTAAGATCATATGCAGAATAAGAGACAGACTTAAAAGTCAGCTCTAGGCCTTTCTTTATACAAAATCTGTGCATTTTCTGGAACATCTCTCTCTCTCTCATTCTCTCTCTCTCTGTTTCTCTCTCCTCCCCCCTCCCATCTCTGGAAAGCAGTCATTGAGTGAGGAGCTTTGTACACAGAGCCAGCTTAAAACCATTCAACTAGTTGGGACAAAGTTAAAACCTAGAACTCACGTCTTATAATGTCCTTTTATTATCTTCTTTTTTATTAACTTGACATTTCTTATCAAATCATATGACACTCAAGTATCAGGAAAATCATAATTTCACAATATAGGATGTATGTGTATACTGGAATGATGAAAGCAAAATGGCTTATCTTTGGCCTGAAAAAGGAAGGATATTGCAGCAACTCTTTTTGTGTCAGGGAGAAAGGCGTTTTCTGGGGTTGTCTCATAGACAAAGTATCATGTGCTTAAACACAGGTATTGAGGGCATAGCATGTGCTCAGGGATGAGACACTAAAACAATAAAAGTATAGTCCTAGTGCTTGGACATAGCTCAGCAGTAGAGGGCTTGCCTAGCATGCACAAGGCCCTGGGTTCTACTCCCAGCTTTGCAAAAAGAAAAAAGTTACAGTCCCTGTGCCAGCAAAGTGTTCACAGTCTGATTCGAGTGAAATGAGACTAACGATAGCAAAAAATACAAGGCAAAGTGTACTCATTCTAATGGGGATTATTACCGCTAGAGGAACAGAGGGAAAATTCTGCTGTTATGTGTGCTGCTGGTGTGTTCAGGGAAGGCTTTTGGAGGGAGGAGGTCCTCGGTTAGTTGCGTAGTGATGCTGTGGATTTTGTCAGCTGTTGATGTTCTGCAGAGAAGTGATAATGAGCGGCCAATGGAAAAAGACTTCAGAGAATTGATCCAAAGATAAATTCTGTGCACCCCTTTTCTCTTGAGCTGTACTAACGGCACCACAAATCCTGGCCATCAGTGGAGACTCTTCAGTCTCCTTTGTTCACCCTGGAACCTTGCATCAACCCTCCCAGTCTTGCAAACTTGGCTTCCTAAAGGTTTCTTCAACTTTACCTTCCACTCATGCTCTCCTCCATCCAATTTCTTTCTTTCATCATTTCCTACCTGTATTCCTGAGATACCTTCCTAACTGAATTTCCTAGAACTTCCAGCCTTGAACTCCATAAATCCACCCTTAAAAACTATACCTGTTAACTTAGATTATATCTTCTCATTCCAGTCTAAGGTCCCTCAATGTTTTCTTATTGCCTCCTAAAGAACCAAACCCTCTTTCTGAGCATAGTATGTAGGGAGCCCCACCATCTGGCCCTTCCTCCTGCAGAGTGTCACCTCGCGTGACACTTTGCTAACCGTTGGCTGGTCTACAAACAAATCACGTTGCTTCTCATTTCTGTGTGTTCGCTCAAGCTAGTGACTCTACCTGGGAATCACTTCTTTTCCTTTTCACCTAGCACTAACTCATTTGCCATGTTAGCTCCTTTCCTGGACACTTCTCCAGAACTGCCAAATTAGTGCAGCCCCTGTCCTCAGCATTCCTCTATCTTTATATTTGTACTTATTCCTGAGAATTTTTAATTGTCCTTTCTATGTTGCATCTCCCACAATTTTCCAAACTCCTCAAAAATAGATTCTGTGTAATATTTATCTTAGTTTCCCCAGAAATTGAACTCAGGCATGCAGAATGTGTTGTGTGGTACAGCTGGACACATATTGTACACAAGCAAAGCAATTCAGAGTTTAATGTGTGTTAATCCTTTTGTGACATGAATGTGAACTGGAAAAGGGTAGAAACAGGGTAATTGGTGGTGGAACTACTTGATCTTAAGTCTTTAATGTTTGATTGAAAGTGGGCTCATGTTTTTATCATTTGTAAACTCCAGTGCTGAGCAGGGCTTAGTGTCAAGTAGCTGAATTGAAGTGAATTTCTTTCTTCATCTCTACTTAGTATATGTGCAAGTGACTGGTCAACAGATACATAGGTAGACAGATACAGAGAGACAGATTTCAGAAAGATATATTCTTGCATTTACAGAACCCAACTTTCTAACACTTAGAGGAGCTGGTGATTATAAGGTCTTCCAGGCACTTCTCACTCTCTGAGTCTGCCAATTAAGGTAGCCTTTGTATGTGGAATATTTTTCCCTGGGAGAAATAGGCTGCTAATGGGCAGAGAATTTTGACAGAAACGGGTAGGTGGTGATGCAGGATAGCCCATCTTTATGTAATTACTTCTCTTCTGAGAATCTTTTGGAAAGCCACCCACTGAGAGGCATCTCTTTAGCCTAGAAGATGCCAGATACAGGGTCCTACTTCTAGTAAATATCCTTTCAAGTGGCCAAGAGATGTCTGCATCTACCTTCCTACTACTTGATGCTATCCACTGTGTCTCTGTCCCCTGACTTTGAAAGTGAGCAAGTAGTGAGGTCATCCTTTTGATGACTTTTTACACAAGGCAGCAGCAGTATGCAATGTTTTTCATCCTTTTGTAGTCTAAAAGAGATATTAGCAACTTTGAATTTGGATCAGAGACTAATATATTCTAGTATTTGTAATAGCGTTTAAAATCAATTGTAGTTTGTAATTACTTGATTATTTAACCAACCCTTCATAAATAATACTGCTTTATGAATCACACAGTCAGATTATAATAGCACACATAGACTCCTCTTGCTTTATTTTTTCTTTCAGGCAAATGGACCATCCCACATAATATGTGCTGAACTTTCTTTAGACTTGCTTTTGCTCTCCTGCTTTTTCTCCACCTCCATTCCCTTTTTTTCCCCTCTAACATTGTCATAACCTAAAGGAGCACTGTGAATTGTGATGAGGTATCACTCTCAAATGGGCATTCCCAGCATGGCCCCTTCCTTAAGTTTCTGTCTTTGGGTACATTACTCTCTCCTATCTTCTTTCTGTATAATTATCTTGTTGATAGCAAGACTTTCCGTTCAGCTAGCTCTAAGGTTAGAAAATCCTTGTTCAGAGTACATTTCTCAATGTCAAGATTTCACCAACTACTCACCTAATTCTTCTCACCACCCAAGCCCAGAGTGATCAGTTATCCTTGACCAAAGCAGAGAGTTCAGCAAGGGGTTAGAAGGACAATGTCCTCTCTGGTTAGCACACCCTCATCCCACTTACAGCTTACTTTAGAGTCTTTCTGCATAGGGAGGTAAAAGCTAAAGCAGACCCATTTTGCCTTCTAAAAATGGAATAATTGGAAGTCAGATTTTTTTGTATGAAATAATGTTTGCATTTATACTGTTTCAGTTCATCAAATTGTTAAAGAGCTACGATATGTGATCTCATTCCTGGAAGTGAAACACAGAAAAATGTGTTTGAAAAACAGCAAAAATAGTGCAGATAAGAGAATCTCTGAGTGTTAAGCAATAAAACTCAGTGTAAGTCATAGATCAACAATGTGTATAGTGTAAAAAGAAAACATGGAATAAAAGTGAGAATTTCTCCTTTAAACAACCAATTTTATTTTATGTCCCCTTTATATATTTTATCAAGTATCACAGGAATTTCTAACATTTGCATTGTGCTTTGTGTTTTCCACATTAATTATTTTATTTTTTAGTGAATCAGGCACTTGATTAGAGAGAGTTTTCCTTTAGGCACTATGGTGACCCAAGCAGATAATTTTCTAAATTATACTGTCTTTTGTTTGGTTTGGTATTTTAGGTTCTTGAGGTCATCTAAGAAGGCTGTCTGAAAACAAAAGAAAAAGTGGATCTATCTTTGGGAGGACTGTCTCCTTACTGGCCACTGCCAGGACCTGGATTCATCTGTGACTCAAACAGACCTAAAAAGTTCACATAAGCTGTCTGGAGTGGAGTAGTCTTGCCCTGCCTTGGGGGACATCTCTTGGTGTTGGCTTCATGCTACATGAGGAACCATGGCAACATCCAGGACAGCCTCGCGGTCTCATAGGGACATCACCAACGTGATGCAAAGGCTTCAAGGTAAGGGGAAGAACTTCAGTTGCTTTTTAAAGTTTGAATACCAATTTAATTTGCTTAGACTTTTATTCAATTTTATGAAATTACAGCAAAGAATATCCAAGAATAGACTGAACATTTTTTATTTTGTTTACAAATGAGTTCCTGCTTGCCTTAAGATGCTGGTTTCTTTATGTAAAAAGAGAAGAGAAAGACACAGGTTTTTGTGGTTTTGTATCTGCATTGGTACAGTCTTGATGGTGGTCATTCAGTGTCCAGTTGGGAAGTCAGAGTCATTGCCCAGTGTACAAATGCTGTTCTTCAATTATGTCAGTGGCAGAATGACACCCATGACAGTGCCCTGATGGGGTTATCATGCCAGTGCTGGACAAACAGCTGTGTGGTATTGTTAAGTAAGTAAACCAGAGGCATTTCTCAAATAGAAGGCCTGACATAATCTAGAAATTTTTTTTTAGCAAGTGAGGCAGAAGAGGTTATGAGAGATGAAACAGCATGATGTTAACAGTTAGTGGCAGCAGATGAACAGGCCTTGTATCCCTCACTGGTGCTCTTTCTCTGACAGCAAACTGTCATTGAGAAGGGAATTAACAGAGATGTTGTGGCAGCTCATATATGAGCTCTGAATTGTCATTCTCCCCTAAATGCATTTGTCCTTAACTATAAAAGTAGCTTTCACCTGCAAATATATGAGCACGTTGCTTCTTTGTCGTGATCCTAACAGTCCCTCTCCCATGCTTTAAATGTATACTTGTAGGATATATAACTTTCCAGATTTAGAAAGCTTTTGCACTAATCATTGCCATGAGAGCTTAAAATAATGTCATAGTTTTTGTATCTCTAACAAGTGATCATTTTGGTTTTGTACCCACATTGGTTTGTCACAATCGCACTTTCTTTGCTTACAGTGTACTTAAAGTGCATAGTGGTAAAATTCAACTAAGCATTCTTTTTAAAAAATTTTTGAATCTCAAAATTCTTATGTTGGTTGAAATAAAATGGGAAAGTAAGACTACATATTGTATGATGGATAAATGTGTATCTATTTATATAATATTACCAGAAAATCAAAACTAATCTGTACAGACAGAAAACAGACCCCAGATTGCTTGGGGAAATGAGGAGAGAAAGAGAGAGAGAGAGAAAGAGAGAGAGAGAGAGAGAGAGAGATTACAAAGGAGTATAGAGTAACATTTTAAGCATTATGGCATTTTCATGCATGTATATAATGTACTTTGACCATATTTATCCCCCATTTGCCCTTTCTTTTCTCTCTCCTTCTTCCCAAGTAGTCGTGTCTTCTATGTCTTCTACTTCCTTTATTTTTGTTTTTTAGATCTAGATTCCACATATGAAAGAAAACATGTGATAGCTGTCTTTCTGACTCTGGCTTTTTTCACTTACCATGATATCCAGTTCCATCTATTTTCCTGCAAATGACATAATTTTGTTCTTCATTATGACTGAATAATACTCCATTATGCATGTATGTCATAATTTCTCTATCTATTCATCCATTAATAGGCACCTAGGTTCATTCCGTAATTTGGTTATTGTGAAGAATGCTGCAAAAGCCTTGGGTCTGCAGGTGTCTCTATTGTATGATGACTTAAATTCCTTTGGCTATGTACCTAGGAGTGGTATAGTTGAATCATGTAATAGACCTTTTTTTCCTCTCTTTTTGATGGTACTGGGTTTGAACTCAGAACCTTGTCCTTGTCAGGCAGACACTTTACCACTTGAGCCATGCTCTCAGCCCTTTTTGCTATAGTTATTTTTTTAATAGGGTCTTATATTTATGCCCAGGCCCACCTGGACCACAATCCTCCTATTTATGCTTCCCATGGAGCTGGGAGTGACAGGTATGCCACACCCAGCTTTTTATTGGTTGATATGGGGTCTCCTGGACTTTTTGCCTGGGCTGGCCTGAAATCATGATCCTCTGTCACCACCTCCTGAGAAGCTAGGGTTACAGGCATAAGTCACCACACCTGGCTCTATTTTTAGTTTTTTGAGGAACCTCCCTACTGATTTTCATAGGGGCTGCACTAATTTACCTACCAACGGCATATGAGGTTCCCTTTTTTCCTGCATCCTCACCAGCATTTGTTATTGTTTGTTTCTTGATGACAGCCATTCTGACTGGGGTGAGATGGAATCTCAATGTAGTTTTGATTTGCATTTCCCTGGATGGCTAAAGATGTTGAATGTTTTTGTATGTATTCTTTGGTTATTTGTACTTCTTTTAAGAACTGTCTCTAATTCATTTAAAGATTTACCAATTGGATTATTCTTTTGATGTGTAATTTTTTACCTCTTTATGTATTCTGGATATTAATTTCTGGTCAGATAAATAGCTGGTAAAATTTTTCTCCCGTTCTGTGGGCGTTCTCTTCACTCAGGTAATTGTTTTCCTTTGCTATGCAGAAATATTTAATTTGATGCAATTCCATTTGTCAGTTCTTGCTATTATTTCCTATTCAGAAAGTTGATCTAGGCCTATATCTTGAATGTTCTTCCCTATGTTTTCAAAGTCTCACATCTTTCATTAAGGTGTTTGATTCATTTTGGGTAGAGTGAGAGACATTGGAGGTGTTTCTGTCTTCTACACTTTCTACATGTGGATATCCAGTTTTCCCAGAAAGAACTGTCATTTCTCTAGCATACTTTTTGTCACTTTTGTCAAGACTCAGATGGGTGTAACCACATGGGATTATTTCTGGGTCCTCTAACTACTTCATTCATCCAGTACATAACTGTTTTTGTGACAGTACCTTGCTTTTTTGTTACTATGGCTCTATAGTGTAATTTGAAATCAGATATGTTGATACCTCCAGTATTACTTTTTGACCGAGATTGCTTTGGTTATTTGAGGTTTTTTGTGCTCCTATATGAATTTTATTATTTTTTTCTAGTTCTGTGAAAAAACGACTATTGATGGGGATTACATCAAACCTCTAGATCAATTTTGGTAATATAGCCATTTTCACAATGCTAATTCTGATAAACTATGAACACAGGCAGACTTTCCATCTTCTAGTGTCTTCTTAAATTTCTTCATTGTTTTATAGTTTTCATTATAGAGGTCTTTCACCTCCTTAATTCAATTTATTCCTAGGGTGTTTCCTTGAAGCGATTTTGAATAGGATTTTTCCTCATTTATTTCTCAGCATGTTTGTTATTGATATATAGAAAAGCCATTTCTTTTTTTTTTTAATTTATTTTGGTGGGACTGGGGTTTGAACTCAGAGCTTAACACTTGCAAAGTAGACACTCCACTGCTTGAGCCACATCTCTAGTCCTGTATGTTTATTTTTATCTTGCTATTTTACTGGAAGTACTTATTAGCTCTAAGAGCTTTCTGGTAGAGTCTTTAGGGTCTTTCAAGTATAGAATAATATTGTCTGCAGGTTGGAATAACTTGAATTCTTCCTTTCCAATTCAGGTTCATTTTTTTCTTTCTCCTTCCTTATTGGTCTGGCTAAAAATTTAAGCACTATACTGAATAAGAGTGAAGAGAGTGGACACCTTTTTCTCATTCCTGACTTTAGAAGAAATGTTATCCATTTTCCCCCATTTGATATAATAATGATTAGAGGTTTGTCCTATGTAGCTTTTATTATGTTGATATATTATACTTCTATTTCGAGTTTTTTCCATTATGATCTTATAAGATAGAAGAAATTATTTCAGTTTTTTGGTATTCCTAAGACTTGATTTAGGCTAAAATGAGATCTGTTATGGAGAAAATTTCATGGGTTGCTGAGAATGTCTATTCTGCAGCTGTTGGATGCAATATTCTGTAGATGTTTGTTAAGTCCACTTGATCTGTGGTACATTTTAATTATGAAGTTTCTTTGTTGACTTTTTTGTCTGGATGATCCAACTGTTCATGAGAGTGGGGTATTGCAGTCACACACTACTATAAAAAAGAGTGGAAAGATATATGAGATGAGCATATTAAAAATAGAGGTGAGGTAGGTTGGACATGGTGGCTGTATCTATAATCCCAGCTCTTGGAAGGTGGAATCAGGATGTTGACAGTTGGGGGCCAGCCTGAGAAAAGTTAGTGAAAGATCCTATCTGAAAAATAAAACAAAGTAATGAAGCAAAAAGACTGGGGTGTGGTTCAAATAGTAGAGTGTTTGCCTAGCAAGTGCAAGGCCCTGAGTCTAATCCCCAGTACCAGAAGAAGAGGAAGAGGGGGAAGAGGAAGGAGAAAGGAGGAAGAAGAAGAAGAGGAAGAGGAAGGAGGAAGAGGAAGAGGAAGAGGAGGAAGAGGAAGGAGAAAGGAGGAAGAAAAAGAAGAGGAAGAGGAAGGAGGAAGAGGAAAAGGAAGAAGAAGAAGAAGAAGGAGGGGAAGGAGGAGGAGGAGAAGGAGGAGAAAGAAGAAGGAGAAAGAAGAAGGAGAAAGAAGAAGGAGGAGAAAAAGAAGAAGAAGGAGAAAGAAGAAGAAGAAGAAATAATAGTGAGGGAGAACATAATAGAATAAGCAAAGAGAAAGACAAAGCAACCAAAACAAAACACCAGTCTTAGCTGAGGAGGAAGAGGAGGGAGACGGTCCATCTTCTCTCAGTTTACTTGGTGTATGCAGGCGGGGGTGGGGGCAGAGTGGGGCAGCTGTTTTCTCTCTGAGTATGAACTGGTTAAACCAAAAAGGACTATTTCCAGGTTGAGCCCTGTCCTGCCTTTCCTGCTGGGTTGCTAAGCTGAATTTTTGTCAGTATTTTTCTCCATACAGGCCTGCTACCCTCACATTGCTCCTGCCAACTGAGCACAATGCTCCCCAGTTATGTCCCTTGTACCACAGGTGCTTTGTTTGTGCTGGTTTACCATAGGAAATTCCTGAGTAGTGGCTGCTTTCCACCAAATCTCTCTGGCCCTCTGAGAGTGTACAAAGCAGTCAGACCAAAGCAATCTGCACTGGCTCCAGTTGATCCTGTGGGTCTTGACATCACATTTCTCTACTATAGAACAGAGTGGGTCTCTCTTACCAGGTTTTGGGC